GGGGGCGGGAGATCAGGTCCCCGCCCTTGCTGGGCTGGCGCCAGGACCGACATGCACACAGAGAGGGCTCGACCATGCTCAGAAAGTCATTTGCAGTTTCAGCTGGGGACCTCTATGCAGAGCAGGGAGAGGGCTGAGGGGGAAAGCGGGAGAGATGAGGTGATCAACACAAGGTCACAGAGGTGGGAATAATGCCCAGGCCTCTCCTGCCACAACTCATCCCATTCTGATGTTGGGAACCAGACCCGAGCATCCACTTTCATTCCTCCACAACCCACCTTAATCGTCCCAGGCAGCTGCAGGCAGGGGGGCCGGCCCCTACCCAGCCTGTTTCTCTCATAGGTTTAAGCCTAAAGGAAAGGTCCATCTTTACAGGGCCCCAAGGCTGCTGAATGGGCATTGTGCATGTGGCCACAGTGCAGCAGTGTTATGGGGCAGAACAGGCAGGTGAAGAAAGGACCCAGCTCACCATGGACGTGTCGATCTGAGCCAGGAGCCGGGGGTTGTTTTGTTCCACAGCCTCAAGGCACTGTAACATGGCTGTGACATGGGCCTCGCTCAGCAGGAAGGCAGTGTCTGCAGAGAAATAGGAGAGGTCAACCCAGTGGGACTCATGACACTCATACCAGCCCCTGGGGACAGGAGTTTGCAATGGGCACAATTTTTAGAATGTGGGGATAACCCCTTGGTCCATCCTCAGGCTGTCACCGCCTGCTCTCTCTCAACATGGAGAACTACTGCCCAAGCCCCTCTGCAGCCAAGCTTACAAGGGGTCCCAGTTTTCACGCTTCCGCACAGGATCCTCTGGGATCCGAAAGGAAGGCCTACTCTTGGGTACAGCAGGGGACAACTTCCTGGTGCAAGTACTGGAGCAGCCAACTAGGGGCTGTGCTCTTCTTGACCTGCTGCTCAAGAATTGTTGGGGAATGTAGTAATGGATGGCAACTAGGGCAGCAGCAAGCGTGAGATGATAGAGTTCAGGATCCTGAGGACAGGAAGGATGGAGAGCAGCAGAGTAAGGACCCTGGACTTCAGAAACGCAGACTTCGACTCGCTCAGGGAACTCATGGGCAGGATCCCCTGGGAAGCTGGTCAGAGGGGGAGAGGAGTCCAGGAAAGCTAGCTGTACTTGAAAGAAGCCTTACTGAGACTGCAGGAACAAACCATCCTGATGTGCAAGAAGATTAGCAAGTATGGCAGAAGACCAGCTTGGCTTAGCAGGGAACTCTTCAGTAAACTAAATCACAAAAAGGAAGCTTATGAGAAGTGAAAACTTGGACAAACAACTACAGAGGAGTATAAGAGCACTGTTCAGGCATGCAGGGATGAAGTCAAGAAGGCCAAAGCGCAACTGGAGTTACAGCTAGCAAGTGATGTGAAGGGTAACAAGACAGGTTTCTACAAGTATGTTGGTAGCAAAAGGAAGATCAGGGAAAGCGTGGGTCCCTTACTGAATGGGGGAGGCAAGCTTGTCACAGAGGATGCAGAAAAGGCTGAAGTACCAATCAGCATAGATTCATCAAAGACAAATCATGCCTGACCAACTTGATTATCTTTATGACAAGGTGACTGGCTCTGGGGATGCAGGGAGACCAGAGTACCTTGATTTTAGCAAGGCTTTTGATACGGTCTCCCACAACATTCTCCCAGGCAAGCTAAGGAAGTACAGGCTAGATGAAGGGACTGTAAGGTGGATAGGAAACTGGCTGGAGCATCAGACTCAGAAGGTAGTAGTCAATGTCTCTACGTCTAGTTGGCAGCCAGTATCAAGTGGAGTGTCCCAGGGGTCAGTCCTGGGGCTGGTTTTGTTCAATGTCTTCATCGCCAGTTTGGAAGATGGGATGGAGGGCACCCTCAGCAAGTTTGCAAATAACACCGAGCTGGCCTGGGGGGAGGAGTAGATATGCTGGAGGGTAGGGCTAGGATTCAAAGTGACCTAGATGAATTGTAGGACTGGGCCAAAAGGAATCTCATGCAGTTCAACAAGGACAACTACAGAGTCCTGCACTTAGGAGGGAACAATCCCCTGCACCAGGACAGGCTGGGGGCTGACTGGCTGGGCAGCAGCTCTGCAGAAAAGAACCTGGGGGTTACAGTGGACAGTCTTGTCCTGTGTCCAGTTTTGGGCCCCCCACTACAGAAAGGATATGGACAAGTTGGAGAGAGTCCAGAGGAGAGCAACAAAAATGGTTGGAGGGGTGTGGGGACAGGACTGGTGAGGAGAGGTTGAGGGAACTGGGCTGATTTAGTCTGCAGAAGAGAAGACCGAGGGGGGATTGAATAGCAGCCTTCAACTCCCTGCAGGGGGGCTGCAAAGAGGAAGGAGCTGGACTGGTCTCAGTGGTGGCAGATGACAGGACAAGGAGCAATGGGCTCAAGTTGCAGCAAGGGAAGTCGAGGCTGAAAGTTAGAAAAAGTTCTCTCCCTAGGAGGGTGGTGAAGCACAGGAACAGGATACTCAGAGAGGGGGTGGTGTCTCCATCTTTGGAGCTTTTGAAGACCCAGGTAGGCAAAGCCTTGGCTGGGATGATGTAGTTGGGGCTGGTCCTGCTTTGAGCAGGGAGTTGGACTAGATGTGACCCCCTGAGGTCCCTTCCAGCCATCATTTTCTGTGATCTCTGCAGCAGGGCTGCTCCAGTACGTACTAGCAAGAGACAATGGCTCCTCTCCACACAGGAAGTAAAAGCAAGGCTGGGGGTGTTGGGTTCATCAGAGAGAACTCAGGAGGCTCTAAACAAGGCAATGGAAAACACCCCACGGACGTCAGAGAGCCCAGCTGCCAAGAAGGACTGACCAGATAAAGGGCCCTGGAGACCGCTGTGCTTCACATGCAGCAGCCAAACCCAAGCCACGATTTCCCCTTTCCAGACTCTTGCTTTACAACAACAGGTCTTTGTTCCTGTTTGGGGGGACCCGGCCTGCAGCAGCTGTGGGTTCACACTACAAGATTTCCTAGCCTACACCACAAGTCAATGTGTTTTCTGTACTGCAAAAAAATCAAAAGGAGAATACTCCCCAGAGCCCAGCAAAGCTTCTGCTTCCACCTTGGCCTTCTGTTTCTTACTCTACACTAACTTGCATTTTGAACCGAAAAAACTGCTTTTGAGGTCAAAACAACTTTACGGAAAGGTTTTGCATATGTTCAAGTCAGAGCCGGGCCCCTTCCAAAGGAAGGCACTAGTTTTGTCATACCAGCATTTTTCAATCAAATGCCACAGTGGAATCCCCTTCCCTGACCCACCCCCAGGCACCCCAAGCCATCCTGGCAGGGGTGCAGGTCCAGCCCTCCCCAGGGAGGAAAGACAACTGCCTGCCTGGGGCTGGTGGGAGTTACCTTTGTAAAATTTCCTGATGTACTGCCTGTTCCCCAGCAGAGGCTTCAACTGGGCAGAGAGGCAGTGGAACTGCAGGCTGCGCTGCAGCCACTGCTTCGCTGGGGCCTGGTCGCTGAGGCTGTCGGCGTTTTGCAGGTCATCTTCACGCAGGTTGATGAACTGGAACAGATGCCGTGGGTGAGTCAGGGCAGATAGGAGCCGCAGCCTCCCGAGAGCTGCATGCCAACACCATCCTTCTTCCCAGAGATGCCCCAAGCCCATTCGCTGCCTGGGAAGCACAGCCCTGGTCTGGCAGCACTCTGCCTCCCTGCTCAGTTCTGGTGGAGCACAGCAGCTGGCCAAGCTGGTGCGCTCACAATGGAAGCAGCAGCACCGGTGGAGACTTGTGCCACACAGGCCAAAAGGCTGCAACCTGCTTGGGAGGCCAAAGTCCTTGGCTTACCCTGTCAAGGCTGGGAAGCTTCCACTGCATCGTCCCACCGTGTGCACTGAGAGGACCAGGGAAACCAGGGCCAGGCCTGCCCAGTCGCCAGAATCTGAGCTAAGATTGAGTGAACTGCCTGCTTCTTGGCTGACACACTTGGAACTGAACTAGGGCTCCAGACCACAGAGCAAGGCCCTGTACAACAGCCCTGCTTCCACCTGGGAGCTCCAGGCTGGCTCTAAGGTCTGCCCTGCTGCTCCCCTGAACTCTCCATGAGACCCTTCCTCCATAAGGGCTCTGCATATCAGCCATGTCATGAGCATGGCCTCAAAGAGAGCAGCAGAGTGGTAGGTATCAAGGGGAAGAAGAGCTGTTCTCCCTTAGGGCAGAGAGCAGGACACAGGGCAAGACACTGAAACGGTGACAAAGCAGAGAGATATAGATTAAATCTCAAAAAAGAAGCTCTCCCCCTCAGAGCAGGAGGGCAACCCAAGAAGCTGCTTAGAGGAGCGGTGGCATCTCCTTCACTGGAGGGTTTCAAGCAAAGGCTGAGTGGGATGGGTTAGAAACAGCACACATGGCCTCCATGCAGGGGTCTGGACTGGATGAGGTCCCTTCCAGCCTCCGATTCTATGGATGGCCCCTCAAATCAGGGCTGTCCAACTGGCACAAGGTGTAAAGATGCAGCTCCCGGGCTTCTGCAACAGCAGCCAGAGTCTCTGGGCTCTCCTTCCCTCCTCTGACTTTCACTGCCTGCTTCTGCCTCAGGGCTGCACAGTGCAAAGGTGGAGGGTAAAAGGACCCAGTGCAGCAGTGATGGGCATGAGGGTCCATGTGGAGGCATGGTCACGAGGAACTGGAGACCAGCAACTCATGTCTCCTGGACCCATCTCCCCTCTGCTCTGGTGGGTTTGACCCCACAATCTTTTCCAGGGCACAGCCTGTAAGAAAAACGCACCCCACACAGCCAAAGCCCCACACGAGTTATAGAAGATAAAGGCTTGCAGCAGAGTGCTGCGTTCTTCTGCCCGAGTCTGTCCAAGCCGGGAGAGAGGGGTGCTCAGAGAAAACCAGGTCCCCCGCAGCAGGGCAGCCATGCTGAGGTCATCGTGCCACTCCCACACTCCCTCCCCTGTGCAAATCCACGGGCTGGAAGCCTCCCAGCCAGCTGTCCCTCCAGCCCTCTGCACCTCACCTCCTCCACGTGATGAGCAAAGTTGGGGCTCAGCCAGCGGATGTCCTTCACGAACTGCCAGTAATCCTGCTGCCTGCAGTACACCTGCCAGGAGAGGCACTGTTAGACTTCGCACCACACCACTCCAGCTACTGGGAAAGGAGCAGGAGGGCAGGGGAGCTGCATTTCCCAGGGGCCTGCTCCAGGGCCCCTCTGCAAGCCAGCTGCTGCTGCTACAGGAGAAGTGGGGATCAGCTTGTTCAAAGACACTTCCCCTCCAGGCTTCTGCAGCAGCTGCAGTGAACGGACAGGCAGCACACCTCTGATCTTATGCCTCAGCCTGACTGGGACAACACAGCCCTGGCTCCTATGCCAGGATGAGGCCAACAGAGGATGCCCCCACACGTGCCACAGGACCAAGCGCCTTGGCTGACAGGCAGAGGGAGCAACTGCAGAACTCCGTGCACACAGACCAAAATAAATAGGAAGAAAAAGCAAATGAGCCAGAAGCTTTGCAAGGAGGAAAGAAAAAGAGTGACTATGAGCAAGACAGAGGCTATTGCAAAGTGATCTCCTACACACAAAGGCCCAACTGGGAGCTCAGCAGGCTGAGTGCACAGCACCTGCAGGACGTACCTCCAGCACCCTGATGCTCAGTGGGCAGAAGAAGCAGTGTACAGATGAGGTGGAGGACAGATGCGCAATGAAGAGGTTAATGCCTGCCCGTTAATGCACGCCCAGATGCAGGGAGCAGCAAGCTCAGCCAGGAGCTAGATAACACTTGACCTTTAGCCCCAGGAAAATGAAGCAAACAAACCCCAACCCAAGCCCTGACAGGTCAGAGCCCAGCACAGCAGGGCAGGACAGGGGAAGGGGCACACAGCTAGTGCTGGGCAAGCCTCAGTGGCCTATATGGTGCCAAGGTCTCTCCCGCCACAAGTCTCTCCAGCCCAGGAGCAGGGATTTGATCATGTTTCAGCCTGTCAGGGGAGGACAGCACTGCCCGCAGCTGGAAGATGTGGGCTAGGGGTGGGGGGGAAGACCAGGGAAATCTTTCCTGAATGTGTACCCCTCCCTAGCTCCTTCTCAGCTTCAGGGCTCGGGCACAGGGCAGAGAGGACTAAATGGGAATACAGGCCTCAACCCCCTGTCCCAGCCCAGCTATTTCATGCAGGCTCCAAGCCTCACACTGCCTCCAGAGCTGGGAGCCAGGGCTGGATGCAAGTGGACACCCACATCTTAGAGGGACAGCATCCTATCCACATACAACAGGACTATGGCTAACAGTAGATGACCCAGCTTTCAATCAGAAGGCAGAGAACAGTTGCACCTTTAGGGACTAACTAAATAAGATTATACAGAGAAAGCATGTATTTTCATGAATCCAAGTTCACTTTATGAGATACTGCCTTTTAATTACCAACAGGGAAATAAGCTTCACACCAGCTGCATGTGCCGCTGCACTGCAAATTCAAGACCTCTCTTCCCCTTTAACTGTTCCCAAATAAATAATGCTCCCCAAGTGCTGTGGCTATGCCTACCATCAGCCAATCTCTTGTTCACCAGATCAGCTCCACAGATGAGGGTCAGGGGTCTGAACTAACCAGTGTGGTGTTGCTGGCGGTTCCCACATACCTACAGGATCTCAAGCTAGGGATGGAGCTAGCAGGTCTGATTTCTCAGCAGCAGAGGCCCCCCCATGTTTTCACAACTGAAGGCATGGGAGGTTTCATACTAGCTCCTCCTTGCACCCCATGTTGGGTTGCGCTGTTGCCACCTCTGATGGCTTTGGAAGCTTTGCCAAGTTCAAAGTCTCACAAACTCCTAATTGCCACCTCTCCGCTTCCTGACAACAGCCTTGCTTCCTGTTGACACGGCAGTGTGGAGAAGAGTTGCACTGGAGAGGGGACAGAGGGCAAAGCAGAAACATCCTGGCAAACAAGCAGCACAGACTGTAGCTCTTGTGCCACGGCAGCCCTGCCGTACAGCTGGCAGTCCAACAAGTTTGTCTTTGCTTGGGCAGGCAATGCTAGACTCGTACCTTTTTCTGCTGCTTTAACAGGTACAAACACAACCTCAGCATTAACTAAGAAGCTTCTCCTTAACTCAGGCGTTTTCATACTCAAATATCTTGGATGTCAATTCTTTTCTCCCCCGCTTTTGGGAGGCTTTGGTTGGGAATCACCAAACCCGGAGTGATACTTCTCATGACATAAAATAAAAGCCACTCAATGGCAGAGACACCCCAAACCCTCCAATTCTTTCATGTGTCTACAGAGAAACATTTCTTTACTGGGGAGAAATGGCAGATGGGGACAATGTTAAATTGTTCCCAGGAAAAGCCTTGCCCAAAAGCACTTGCTGTGAGCCTGCACGAAGCTTTAATAAAGAATAAGGTCATGAGGAGTCGGGCACCCCCTCCCACAACTGCAGAGTCAGTCATTTGTGATGCCACAGTTATGCCGGTTCTCCAATCCTCCACACAGTCCTCCAGTGGCGGAGTCAAGGCCTGACACTTCTAATTAAAACATGGATAGGAACAGCTTTCTCTGCATAGAAAAAAAGGAGAGGGGCAAAATTTGCACTTTGCAGGTCCAAGGTCTAAACTCCGCAAAGAGCCTTGGTAAGGAGCACTAGCCTGTGTTGACAGGGCTTGGTTACCCGAACTGCTGTCACATAGTAAGTGCAAGGATCCCTTTGAAGCCTGTTTCTTTAAAACAAGGGCATCAAAGACACAGCCAGCAGGCTGGATCCAGCCTCCAGAGCCATGTCATCTGGCCCACTGGCTGGAATTTGGTACTGGGACAAGCAGCAGTAACATTAATTGCTGCAACTCCCAGAACCTCAGCAGCTGCTGATTATCTCACCACCAAAATTGCAGCCCTGAGGGCCAGATCCAGCCTGTGGGCTGTATTTTTGACACCCCGGCTTTAAAGAAACAGGTTCCAAAGGGACTGGATCTGGAGTGTAAAGACCCATGGCTGGAAGAAGGGGAGAAATCCTCAAACAAGGAATCTCCAGAGGTGCAGAAGAGATCTGCTTTCAGCAGCAAGCGGAATGGGTGTGAATGGGCAATAACAGGGAGAATTAGTGGGAAGAAAAAAAAGACAATGAGTTTATGCAAAGCCTGGATTTGGGCCTTGGACCCCATTACCTTCTAAAAATCCAGAATATTGAGGCCTGGGGTTTCTCCCACCAGCCCCGGCCAATAACTTCTCCAAGACCCTTCATTACTGAGCTGATGCAGTACTGTGGTGTCACTGCAGGATCCAGGAGGAGGGAACAAGGAGCTGGGTGGGGACAGCTTCCCCAAAAGTCACTGATACTTAGTTAATGTGGCATGAAATGATATGAGGGAGGAGGCGAATGGCAAGTGGGTCAACCCTCACAGAGCTCTGAAGCACAAGTTTTCCCGGCTGCAATGGAGCTGTTAGGACAAGACCATTCCCTACCTCACTGGCTGCCTGCATTAACCCCAATTCTTTTCCCCCACCCAAGGAGTTCACTGTATTTCACAAACATGAAGCCATGCAATCCGGATGAGCAGGGCAGTATTATCAAAGAGGAAAACTGAGGCCCGCAAAGGAGAGACCTACAAATCAGTGGTGGACCTGGGGACCTCCCTCCTTTGCTCTAGCCACAATGAGTAGGTGTACACTGATATTTAGAGTTGAGTTTGAGCAACCTCAAGCACCAGAACTGCCCTTCTCTTCTATATTGTACCTTGGTGCCTGAACCAAAGCCATCTACCCTGTGTTTCTTTCCTGAACACAGCACTACCATGTGCCCCAGCATCCCTTTGGAGTCCCTTTAGGAATCAGTCTGCCGAAAACTTGTCTTTCTTCCTGGGCAGTAGAAAGGAAGTGGTGTGAAGGAAAGCTGTGTCAAAAACAGGGTATTGTGGGACTGCTGCTGGCTGACTCCTTGTACCAGCCCTGCTTGCTTAGGTAAGTTAAAGCACACTGGAAAGGTGGGATGAGGTAGACCTGAAACCCAGAAACTCAGCAGAGCTCGCAAGGTCGGGCAGGACTGCTACCAGGATGGATGGTCAGAAGATATGGGTGTGAGGGCAAACTTAGGGTCACCCCTGCCAATTTAGATATAACTACAAACAACTTAATCTTCATTAAAGCTTTAGCCACAACCACCTCAACATTAATTATAATAATAATTATTATTATTTATTATTATTATACTATCACCACCCTTTGCCAGTTGTTTCAGTGAAAACACAGATGCTCCCACACTTGGTGGGTTACCCCAATACTGGGAAAAGAACCAAGTCCGCCATCCATCACTGAGAAACAAACACCCTCAAGAAGGTGCCACTTGTGAGAGCAGCCACCAGAGGTTCAATGTCACAGAGCAGCACACCCAGCGCCTTACCTTATCGTGGATGAGCCCATGGAAGAGGATGCTATGCATGTCTCTGCACAGCCGCTCCAAGCCGCCATACTTGGACCAAACATTCGGGTTGTTGGTGGACACCAAACCCTCCACTGTTGTCTTCAAGTTGCCCAGAAGTTTCCAATGCTCCTTCCTACACGGGCAGAAGGAAACGGGGCCAGTGAGTTCCCTAGTCATGCAGCAAACAAGGTTTAGGAGGCCAACAGCAGCATCATTGCCCCCACAAAACCCTTGTGAAGCCGAAATATTTGGGCAGGAATCCTAGAAGCCTGCAAGACATGAGTGTCCTATGCACACTGCCAAAGTACCCCCACCTGAGGTTCAATGTTTGCCACTTTATTCATGAGCGTCCTGCTGTGGGCCACTGAGACCACCCAAACTTCAGGCTGAGAGGGGACCACTCCAGCATGCTTCTGCCAGTATTGTGATGAATGCCAAGGCTGAGAGATTTCACTGTGCAGCATTAGCACACTTGCTCTCCCTTAAATGCCAACACTATATATGGATGGCAGTCTGCATGCCACTCAGCAGCCTAGCCTGTTCAGAAAGGGCCTCTGTAGACCCAGTGAGAGGAGCTCACAGCTGTCTCTGATTATTCCAGAGGCATTTTTTTGTTTCAACTCAGCTGATCCCCATAAGACCCGGAGCGGAGCGACGCAGAGGCGAGAGCAGCGGAGGTGAGCAGAGCGGCAGCGGGGCCAGCAGCAGCTGATCCCCATAAGGTAAGTGGGGTGGAGAGACCGGCGCAGCTGAGCCGGATCCAGAGGGGAAACCCCCCGGATCCCTCTTTGCTGAGCCGGTAGGGAGCTGCGCTCCTGAGCCGCGCAAACAGGCGTGGTCTGTTACAGCGTGCCGGCGTTTGCGCCGGAGGGTGAGCAGGAGGGATCCAGAGGCTGACTCCTACTAACGCAGGGCAGAGGACCTGACCTCAGCTAGACACTCA